TTCATGAAAACCATCATAAAATGGGGAAAACCAACGAGTCACAGAGTCAGGTTTGTGTTCCTGTCAGGCTGAAAACAAAGCAATGATCCAGCCTTTGCTAAACTCTCTGATAGATGCAGTACTGTGAGGCTCCACCAACAGCACACAGGGACCCAATGGGATCAAAGGGAAGTGATGAAAGGGAAGCTGAAGGCGTCTGACACAGTCAGTCAGCATCCAGACATCATGAAGGCTGCAGCTGCCTCTCTGCTCCTGCTCGGTGAGTCCCACCTTCACTCTCACTGCAGCAGAGTCTGACCTTTGACCTCTGACTGTCACATCGTCCTGTTTGTAGCAGCTGCTTGATCCAAATATGCGATTCAGAGCGAGTCAGTCTTCATAAAGGATGTAATGTCAGAGTTTATGTGGATAACATGAGGACGAGGACACTGTGTCACACTCAGTGACCATCATTTACGTCCTGTCACTTCCTAAAGGTAGAATACCTGTGATTGGTGCTTTTGGACTGCACCGACTCTTTCTCATAGTTCTAGTAAGAGCTGAGGGTAGGACTCCTGTTTGTGTGTGTGCACAGGAACTGGGACCATCGTCTTACTTTGAGCTGTCTGTAGATGTTTGTGTCCACAGCTGTCTGCTGTTACAATCAGCTCAGTCGTCTCTCTTTACTGTGTTTCACTGATGGAACAGGAACTGTTCTTCACCATGATATACTCTGTGTCAGTCACTGACCTCTGATGCTCTGTGACCTGTAACCCTCAGTGACCTCTGACCTCCTGTTGCAGGTGTGCGTGTGCTGCTGCTGTCTGCACCGACTGTTTCTGCAGGTGAATAGATGGAAGTGCGGCTTCATCAAATCTGTTTTTGTTTGGCCTTTTTAAGTTTTATCTTTATTATTTAAAATAATTAAGCTATTAGACATTTAAACTTCAAGTTTCTTTAAGTTACTGAAAAAATAACTTTTCTTTTTGGCATGAATGCTAGTTAGCTAACAGGAAGTTGCGCTCCACAAACTGAGAGAACAATTTCCTGCAGACTCATTCTTTGCTGATTTAGAGTACATTTGCACAATAATTGCAAAAGACAGCCAAAGAAAAAAATTTGTTATTTTATTTACATTTAGCTTTGACTCAAATTCAGAATATGAATATCTGACGATGTGTCAGAGGCATGTGTGGTCCTTTAAAATCTGCCTGTGCCTCAAAACTACGTACTGATTTTTAATGGTCTTTAAAAGTTCTTAAACAAAGCTCTTCCACTCTTATGCTGATGACACAAACACATTTTTGACAGTTATAATTGATGATTTAAAGATTTTATGTTTTTATAGTCTTTAATACTAACTGTCGAAACATTAATGGCCACAGAGGTTATTTTTATTGACACACTTCAGTTCCATCTCTGGTTAACTGAGCCATACTTTATGTGTGTTGGTACATTTCTCAATATATTTTGAACTAAATGAGGTACAAACCGTGCTGTTGCAGGCGTGACAGAGTGGCTTGGCCAACCCCCATCAAAAGGGAGTTGGAGTATTCAAAGCATGGATGACAGTTTCCAAGTTCATGCCTGGACAGAAAGGGCTTTAGCTTTGATCTGACGTGATAGAATGAAGATCTCACTGCCCCATTTATGTGGCCATCAAAACTAAGTGCAGTGTCGATTTTTACCCCAAGATTAGTAACAGAGCTCTTCAAGCGAGGGCTCAGAGCAGCAAAGTGAACATTTGGGATACCAGAAGATCGATTGGGTCTGAATAAAATTGTTTTTTGTTCATAAAAATGTAAAACATTTTGAGCCATCCATGATTTAACTTTGCTAAGACAATCAAGCAGGAGTCCAATCGATGAGCTATCAGAGTGATTGAAAGGTAGATAAAGCTGGCAATCATCAGCATATAGATGAAAAGAAATTTCATATTTTCAGAAAATCACACCAAGTGGCCGGAGATACAATGAAAACAGTAGTAAAGTGTTCCTGGGTGAGATGTGGACATGCCAGGAACACCCAGGAGATGCTCTGGAGGCATCCTGGTCAGATGCCCAAACCAATGAACAGAATCTGTGACAAAGGGCAGCCCTGGCAGAGTCCAACACCCACTGGGAACGAGTTCCACTTATTGACAGCTATGAGGACCAAGGTCTTGTAACGTTTTATGAGGATCTAATGATCCATAGCAATGGGCTCGACTAGTGGACAGACTCTCCTTTCCAGCACCCTGCCTTATACAGCACTAACTAATACACACACTAACTAACACACACACTAACTAATACACACACTAAGACCTAAAATGAATACTGAATATCAAAATATTGCAGTATTCTGACAGTTGGCATGGTGGTGGAGGTTTGGCACCATCACCAAACACCACGAGGGTCAAGAGTTTGAGTCTTGTTAGATTAACTGACAGTGATGTCTCTGTTATGGACTGCCAACCTGTCCATGATGTGCCCTGGTTTTTTG